CATTTTATTACTTATGGGTGTGGTAAATTTGCCATCATATGTAGATTATTGGTCAAAAGAATTACGCTACCCAGCTATTGCTGAAATCATGTCACTGAAAAAGTTTGAAACCATACGCAGATACATCCATTTTGCTGATAACTCTTGTCCAGATTCAGATCGTTACTTCAAAGTAAGACCTTTTGTAGAGAAAGTGAGAAGAAACTGCTTGGCTACCGAAGAGGAAATGAGATATAGTATTGACGAGATGACCATACCGTATAAAGGCAAAAAGGCTGGTAACAGGAGACAGTATAATCCCATGAAACCCAATAAATGGGGTTTCAAAAACTTTGTCCGAGCAGGCATGTCGGGAATTGTATATGACTTCTTGCTTTATGGAGGTGAAGACACATTCAGATATATCCAGTTTTCACAAGCCGAAGAAACCTTAACTTTAGGAGCTAAAGTTGTCATTGCTTTATGCAAGACAATTCAGATGAGAGCCTGCGTCGTATATTTTGATAATTACTTCTCGACTCTAGATTTGGCAATACACCTTAGAGACGAATGTGGTATATTTAGTTTAGGCACTATACGCCAAAACCGGCTAAAAGGTTGTGAAAAACTACTGATGAGTGATAAATCTTTAAAAAAGAAAGGCAGAGGTTCCTATTGTCAAGTCGTTGACAATGACAATAAGGTAGCTATAGTTAAATGGTACGATAATAAGGTGGTCACTCTCATCAGTACTTACGCTGATGCTTACCCTGTAGGTAAAATAAAGAGGTACAGCAAGGAAATGAAAGCACGAGTTGATGTGGACTGTCCGGAACTCATAAAGCATTACAATACTAACATGGGAGGCGTCGATCTCGCAGATATGCTGGTTGCGTTGTATCGGACTACTTATAAGAGCCGTCGTTGGTATACTGCAATCTTTGCCCAAATGCTCGACATTTGTGTCAACAACGCCTGGTTAGTTTATCGCAGAGATTGTAGTAATCGGGCAGTGAAGCACATGCCTTTGAAATCTTTTCGGTGCCAATTAGCAAGAGAGCTACAGAATAAAAGTAGATCTCGTATATCTGTAAGCAACAACTGTCGAACAGACGACAGTGTCCGCTATGACAGTATTGGCCATTTCCCTAGTTTTGGAGAGTCATACGGTCGCTGCAAACTATGCATCAAAAATAAGACTGATGTGTATTGTCTCAAATGCAACCAAAGACTGTGTTTAGTACGTAAGAGAAATTGTTTTTATGATTATCACAGTAAGTGAACGTTTCTAACTATGTTGACTGATTATATAATACTATAGTTGTTTAATTTTGTTTGAAATTTAGAATAATAATTGTTACGTATCTTTTCATTCAGACTGATTGTATTGTTGATCTCACTTAATTTTAGTAAATTGTTCCTCATTATATTGATAAATAATAATAAAATTCTAATACAATACAAAACATTATTGTTTTCGCGTTTTATTATATTTTATTTTAGCACTTGCTCAAAACAGAAATAGGTACAAGAAAGTAATAATTCGGCAATGTGTAATATACAGCACATCAAAATGATTGACAACTTTATGGCAAACCTGGCAAGGTCCAGTATACTGGACATGCATTTTCAGGAAATGAGGTGATTCCAGATTTTTTTAATTATTTTTTCTTGTCCCAACAACTCCTAACTAGTAAAGCCGAAAATGTGAAAAAAAACACGAGTATTAAAAATTTTTTGTCTTGCCAAATTAAGGGTTAAAGTAACATAATATTTTTTTCTTCTTTTTACCACTTTATTTTTGTTACAAAACTATAACACTTAATAAAAAACATGTAATTTTATGCAAATTACGGTAGAAAAGTATTTTTATATTTTTGAAGTGTTTTTTTTTTTGTGATTGTTTCCAAAGTTTATAATGCACATTAAAAAATACATGTGATTTTATTCAAATTAAACTAATATAGTAATTTTGTTTTTTAAGGGTTTTATGTGATTTTTTTTAAGTTTAATATTTAATAAACCATTTGTGATATAAGATGTTTTTTTTGTAATAGATGGCAATTATCATTTAACACTTTATTAATACTTTCACGTGCACAACGTATAGATACGTAAAAAAATCGAGATATGATGTCGTACAACATATCAATACGTCCAATTTTAAGTTTTTTTATCAGTCAGTACCTAAGGGAACGTCCATTTCTCACATGATTCTCCTATAGTGACGTTACAGTGTCACAACATACATCTAAATCTTGATGTAGTAGTGTCACAGCATCGCCAATTTAAGCGTTTTGTGGGTGCTTCTCACACATACAAAGACATCTACTCACAAACGCAGAACGTCCATAGTCGTCAATCTGTGTATGCGCCGCCATATTGAAAATGATTGATGATTATACTTAATTTCTACAAACAATATCACATTGTATTACTTTGAACCTGGACATACCTTTATGAGCTCAGATCAAGTGCACCATCAAGTTGAACTAGCAATGAAAAAAAAGGGGAAATTGTATGACTTTCAAGATTTTGTGGATGCTGTTTCGTTCATAAATAACAGTAAAGTACAGTCACTCTTACCAGAAAACTTTATAAACATTCCAAATTTGGAAATGATTATACAGGGTGTCCAGTAAGGGTAGCAGGAGTTTGTTTATTGGTTCACGGCGTCAAGTGAGGTAGCAGGAGCGCGGGGAGGGCAACATCGAGCGCGTCGGTTCGTGTTATTTTAGTTGCCATGGAGCCGTATCCCGGGACGCATCGCGCTTTTTGCGTGCGAGCGTATTATCGAAATAACGATTCCATTGTTACTGCTCAGCGTTTATATCGCACACGTACAGCGCCAAGCGACGATGTCATACGAAAGTGGATAAAAATGTTTGAGAATACCGGGTCGACTGTTAAAATTCAAAATTCAGGGCGCCCGCGAAGCGTTAGAGATGAAGAAACAATCGAAGAAGTGAGAGTTTCAGTACGTGAAAATCCGTCGCTATCAATTCGCAAACGAGGACAAGAACTAAACATCAAAAAATCATCACTGCAGGTTATTTTGAAGAAAGATTTGCATCTCACAGCCTACAAAATCCAGTTAGTACAAGAACTGAAGGATTCTGATCATGAAAGTCGGTTAAATTTTGCTACTGAAATGCTAGAGCGATTCAACAGCTTTGACAATATTATGTTTAGCGACGAGGCCAATTTCCACCTAAACGGTCACGTTAATAAACAGAATTGTCGCTACTGGTCCGAGGAAAACCCTAAAACAAAACATCAACGGCCACTTCATCCAAAGGTCATCGTTTGGGCCGCCTTTTCTGGTAGAGGCATAATCGGCCCCTTTTTTCATGAAGACAGACGTGGGCGAGCAATTACGGTGAATACAGACCGTTATTGTGACATGTTAAGGAATTTTTTGGCGCCCGCATTACAAGATTTCCCAGGGTTTAATTCAAAGAACATGGTTTCAGCAAGATGGAGCCACATGCCACACCGCAGGGGCGTCAATAGAGGCTGTAAACGAATTGTTCCCAAACAAAGTTATCTCGCGTAAGGGCACCATTAACTGGCCCCCCAGAAGTCCAGATCTTAGTCCTCTCGACTATTTTTTATGGGGATACCTTAAGGGTAAGGTATACGATAACCACCCAACGAATTTAAATCAATTGAAGGAGAACATCACGTCAGAGATGAGGGCAATCCCAACTTCGCTTTGTCAACGCGTCGTCGCCAACCTGCGTTCAAGGTTAGAGGAGTGCCAGCAGCGTGGGGGTACACATTTAGATAATGTTATATTCGCCAAATAAATTTCCAAAAAACTGTTTTTGAACTAAAAATAAAGGATATATTTAATTAATTGTATTTCTCATTTTATTTAACTGTCAAATACCCGCTACCCTTACTGGTCACCCTGTAGTTTCCATTTGCACCCTCTGTCGGTGGCAGAAACATAACTTATTTGTAAACAAATCATAAAAATAGTTGTTTATAGTTGACATTTCCATGATTCACAATACTTCATAACTAAATTAAAATTGTTTCCATTTTTACGACAGTTTTCTCTATTAAATGTTAGGTTTCTGTTCGTTTTCACTTATTCCTGAACTACTCTTCGTAAATATTATATGTAACGCTTATGTTTTATCTTCTTTATCATCTCTGCTTCCCACAACCAATCTGAATTCTTACGAATGGGTTGAAATTAATAATTTACCTTTAGCAAAATTTCAGAGGAAGAGATAATTCAGAGGGAGAGATTGATTCCTGAGCAATTGAAGCCATTTAGAGGCACCCTTTCTGTGCACCAAGTTCTGTGGGACATGTTCAAAGCTAAAATTACTTTGAGAAATATGAGTTGCATTTTATGTGACGCTGGTGAAATCTGCTCCCACGGTAAGCATATGGGTTATATCGATAATAGGTCTACTGTAACAAATAGGACCGATGATCTTGATTCCAACGTAGTGACCCTGGCAAAAACTAAAAATCAAAACAAAATTAAAGTTATTTCAATACTTCAATATGGTCAGTCACGACATCCTTCTAGCCGTCCTATCCCATCTTACGATCTCTGACAAAAACACTGAATGGTTCTCTTCTTACTTCAGGGGCGTCAGCAGTCGGTCAGGGTTGGTGATGGTTCATCTACTTGGCGTGAACTAGGGGCTGGCGTTCCTCAAGGCGGTATACTATCTCCTCTTTTATTTTCTATCTACATTAATTTTATAACTTTCGAACTTCAGTGTGCGTACCATCTGTACGCTGATGATTTGCAGCTATATCGTCAAGCTGGTGTTAATGAGCTGTCTGATGCGATCTCGGAGATGAACGGTGACCTGGCGGCCGTTAAGAACTGGGCCGATAGGTTCGGCATAGCAGTTAATCCTGCAAAATGCCAGGCCATTCTTATAGGTGGCTCCCGCACGCTGAATGGAATTGACATGGCGTCCTTGCCGGCCTTGGTCTTCGATGGTGCGGTAATCCCGTTTAGTAGTGAGGTGAAAAACTTGGGCCTGCACATGGATAACAGTCTGAAGTGGCAAGCTCAGGTCACCAGCGTATGCAAAAAGGTTACTGGATCTTTGCGGGCTCTCTATCGCGCTAAAAACTTACTTCCTCCTGCTACGAAGGCTATGTTGGTGCAGGCTTTGGTTCTCCCTATTATTGATTATGCCGATGTGTGCTACTACGACCTGAATGCAGATCTCCTCAACAAGCTTGACCGTCTTCTGAATAACTGCATTCGATTCGTTTTCAACCTGCGTAAATATGATCATGTTTCTGCACATCGGATGCAACTAAAGTGGCTGCCCATACGCCAGCGCAGGGAGCAAAGGGCGCTAACCACCCTATTCTCCTTTCTTTGTTCACCTTCTTTGCCCACTTATCTTTCCCCTTATTTTCAATATCTATGCGCAAACCACAGCAAAAACCTTCGTTCTTCTCATAACCGTTTTCTTCAATGTCCCACTCATCGCACCGACTTCTTTCATTCTTCCTTTTTCGTACAGTCAATTTTGCTGTGGAATGCGCTTCCCCTGGATGTCAGGATGGTGTCGACTCGTCTATCATTTAAGCAGAAAGTGCGTGAACTTCTCTTGGAGAGGGTGGCTGAATCATCACGCTAATTACTCACAGTCTATATTTATGTATGTATGTATGTATGTATATATGTATGAGTGCATGCATGTGTATTGTGTTGTACTCGTGTGTAGGTATATATATTATAATTGCGTTTATTTATGTTTATCCCTGAAATATGTAAGTATATCTATTTTATTTACTCTATTAAATAGTTGCTTGCTTCTTGCTCACACCATTAACTCTTCTCTGCATCACCCAAAGGTCAGACTGGGAGAAAATGCCTGCGGCATTAAGTCCACCTTATGTACATTTTGTGCATGAAGCTTACAAATAAATAAATAAATATTTCTAATGTTCTTGTTGATGTCACTAATAAGACTCCAATTAAGTAAATAAGTAAGAATTGCATAAATACGAGGAGATTTTCATGTTTGACTGTGATTTTTTTGATTATTACCTAAGAATTGTATAATTATGAGTAGATTTTTATACTTGACTGTGATTTTTTTTAATGATTACCTAAGAATTGTATAATTAAAAGGAGATTTTCATGTTTGACTGTGACTTTTTGAATGATTACCTAAGAATTGTATAATTATGAGGATATTTTCATGTATGACTATAATTTTTTAATGATTACCTAAGAATTGTATAATTATAAAGATATTTTCATATATGACTGTAATTTTTTAAATGATTACCTAAGAATTGTATAATTATAAAGATATTTTCATGTATGACTGTAATTTTTTAAATGATTACCTAAGAATTGTATAATTATGAGTAGTTTTATGTTTGACAGTGATTTTTTAAAAGATTACTTTATAATTGTATACTTAGGAAACTGAGATTACAGGATTAAAATGTCAAACACCAAGCGGTCACCGGTGACCGCGACCTATTGTTCTTTAATTGTGTCTATAAAACCGGTACTCGACGAGTTAAGTTGTTTTAATTTGACAGAAAAATTTAAATATCCAAGAGCTCAACATATCTATAAAAATCTTTAAATATCAATAAGTGTTTAAGTTTTAAGTTCGTTCCCTTTGAATTATGTTACTGTTTTGCATTAAGTAAGTTGATAAATAAACGATTGTTAACTGACTAAATACTTGTTTGTTGTTAAATATAAAAAAAATACCTTCTAGATCATTATTTGCAACATTGCGTCATTATGAAGCACAGCTAATGTCATTCTCGGTATTTGTTGTCATTATTGTCAACGTACATAATTAAAAAAAACCTATTATTTCATAAAATAATGGAAATTGACACGTGCCTTCCGTATTATAATCTTTTTTAGTATGAGTAGAAAATATAAAGCTTATTAAAAATGAATTGCATGAAGGTTCTAAAAAAATAAAAAAATCTGATAAAAATAAATTATTTCGACGAAGTACCCTCTCCCGTTGTGCTCCCGCATTTTGTTGAATTTATCTTGTTGCTTTGTTTTGTTTTTGTTATTTAAGTTTTGGTTATTCATCGTTAAAAGTTTTTAAATTCGTATTTTATCATAAAATGAGTGAACCTCAGCCTGGTACAAGCCGGGCAAGCTCCATCCTTACATTTCCATCACCTAAGAAAAAACGCTCCAAAAGGGGACCTCTTTAGTCTTCTGAGAAGCAGATTGTAATTAATGTGTTCAAACATATTGAAGAAACATGGCCTAAAGACATACGTACAAGAAAGAAATCATAAAAACAACCGCATCAATAGAGGGAATGTGTGAACCAACCATGTACAGGGTTATTAAAGAGTACACAATCTCTCATGATCTGCGATCTCCTCTTCTACCAGCAATGAAATCAAACAGAATTGACAGTCTCAATGACTGACTGACTGATATGGATTTAGCTGGAATCAGGAGAAAAGTACACATGTTTTTTTTTTGATAATGAAATGATGACAGTTTCCCTAATTTGAATAAAGACATGATGCATAAACAACAATATATTTTAAAAATAAATACTGTACCTTTGTAAAATAATATTATATAAGTACTCATTGATTTTTGCAAGACACGAAATCTTCAACGTGGTACGATACCACAATAGCATCCTGTAAAGAGGCCCACAGGCAGGGATTGTCTACGGGGTTGAAGAATCCCAGCGGAAAAGGCAAACGCCTTATCTTAGGCCACATTGGTTATAATTTAATAAAATTGTCATAATGTTGAAAATAACATACATATTATGTATAAAAGCCAGTGTTGGGCAAAGAGTGTCGTGTTTGATGGTTTCTTTTTTAAATATGTTCCCGAAAAGTCATTAGATTCTAAAACGGTCGCAATTTGTGTGAAGTGTTTACCGAAAAAGACTGTCCATATCAAAGGTCATCGCAACAGTTCCTCAAATTTTGTAAGTCATTCGAAGCGTATACATGGATCTACAGCAGTTGAAGAATATCATAAGCACCAGGACGTGTCTAAAAAACAAAAGAAAAGAAAAGTTGGAACCTCTTCTTGCAAAAATAGTGTAGCTACACTGAAAGTAAAGGGTCCTGTTTCCCAAGAAGATTTCGAACGTGATTTGGTAAATTATTTTATTCACTCCATGATACCCTTACGAGCTATAGAAAATCCATACTTTCTTCGTATGATTGATAATTTGGACACAAACAATAACGTTAAAATTCCAAGTCGGCGATGTCTTAGAAAAAAAATAGCACATTACTTCTATGAACAAAAATGTGAATTGAAAAAACAACTAGAAACTGCAAAACATCTTTGCACTACTACGGACATCTGGTCCGGAAAGAGAAGAAGTTTTCTGGGAGTTACTATTCACTGGATTGATCAAAATTTAGAATGGAAATCAGCTTCTATAGCTTGCCGGCGATTTAAAGGTGTACATTCTTTTAATCGCATTAAAGACTTGTTGTTGGACATATACAGTGATTTTGAACTGGACACATCAAAAGTTGAGGCTACAGTAACAGATAATGGCTCGAATTTCGTAAAAGCGTTTCAAATGTTTGGAGTAAATTCAAAGTCAATACTAGTTTCAACGAATGACGATGAGACCGTTGCTATCAGTGACAGCACTGATAGCGAAAGTGAAGACGAAATTCAACCTAATTTTAATGTTTAATGATGATATTATGTTAAATGACGAAAGACTAGAAGACGACACAGAAGAAAGAAATTTGTTACCGGATCATTACAGATGTTGCGCTCACACGTTAAACTTGATAGTAAGTGCTGATATTAAACATTTATTGCAAGATGAGACGACAGTGTTAGGAAATATGCATGTCAATGTGATCAAAAAGTGTAATGAGTTGTTGTTAGCTGGCCGACCAAAATCTGTTGAAATCATAAAAAATGTACTTGGACATACGCTTTCTAGACCAGGTGTAACTCGGTGGAATAGTCTATATGACTCACTTAAGCAAATTTTAAAAATTAAGCAAAAAATTTGCAACTTAGCCGAGCTCTAGGTATCAAGAATCCGCTTACCGACAACGAATTTGAATATTTAGAGGAATTCATAGAATGTGCAGCTCCTGTAGCTACTGCACTTGATATATTACAAGGTGATGATACATTTTATGGCATTGTATTACCCTGTCTATTGGCTTTACGTAAAAAATTGGAAAAACTGTCCCGACAAGAATTACAATTATGCAAGCCACTAGTGAATAAATATAATCAAAGCTTACTAGACAGATTTAAAAATATCCTAGAAATTTCCAATGAAATATCTGAAATCCCTATAGTAGCAGCCTTAAGTCATCCCCGATTCAAAAATAAATGGTTTTCATGTATTCAACCCACCGAACATAAAAAGTGTCATTTGTTCAAAACTGCCATTTGCTTAGAAATTAATCAAAATGCGAGCGAAATACAAGCTGAACTTGAAAACAAATCCGACAATACATATAAACATGACCACTTCTTTGATTTCAATTCAGATTCCGGTAGCGACAATGAATCGATTTCTCCGAGAAGAAAGGCTGAAATATTAATGACAAATTTTTTTAGCGAAGAAATCCGAGATATATCTCTGTTAAATCGCTACCCACTAATAAAAAAGGTATTTTTAAAGTATAATACTCCTATGCCATCGTCTGGACCTGTCGAAAGGATGTTTTCATTTGCTACAATGATAAATCTTCCAAAAAATCATAAATTATCAGATGACATGTTTGAGTACAGAGTTGTTATGAAGAATAATTTAAATTATTTTAAGAATTAGATTCAACAATATTTTCAATATTTTAATTAGTAAGTTCTGATTGATCTTTATTTAATTTTAAACAATAAAAACTGATTTAACAAATGAAACAGTAATTTTATTTTACCAGCCTATCAGTAGAATAAATAAATTGGCCTAGTGCGTGTTGGACTCGCGCACTTAGGGTTCCGTACCAACGAGCGGTTAAGAATCACGATTGTTGTATGAGAGCTCTTAAATAATAATTCCTGTTTTTTAGTTACCTTTGAGGTACGGGACCCTAAAAACTACTAAGTTATAGAAGGTGTTACAAAAAACCCCGCTATACTGAAAACCATTTCTCCGTATCATAAGATTTTACCAGGGCATCTATTTATCTGACCACCAAAAATACTGAATTTTAAACTAAAACACTAAAGTCTAACCTAACCTACAGTAACGTTTTGTGTCCAATTCAGTATTTTTTTAAGAAGCAGAAAAAATATTTTACCTTACCTCGTATTAAAAAATATCAATCATAAATAAATAATCATGATTATTTGACTAAGATTAAAACTAATCAATCGTTAGTCATCACCTCGTGATTAAACTAAATAATCATTAGTCATCAATCATAACTAACACATTCAATCATTAGTCATCAATCATTAGTTAACTAAATTTTGCCCAAATTTTTGATAAAAGCTAACAACATATACTTTACCTTAAAAATATATAAATATGAGATTACTCCGAGTCAGTTGTTGCAATGTTTAAGGTTCATCCAGTGGTTTTGTTGAAGAAGGGGAGCTCATATTTGAGGCTAAAAAGGGTGACGGTGATTACCACTCTGAAATAGATGCCCACAATTTTGAAAATGGATCACCAATATTTTGAAAAATCTGGATAAGGAATCAATGTTAGTTATGGATAATGGTCCTTACTTATCGTACCAGAAAAAAAAGTACCAACTACAGCAACAAGAAAAGCTGAAATACAAAAATGGTTAAATGAAAAAAATATTGCTTTCGAAGCAACAGAAATAAAAGCTCAACTGTTACAAAAATATGAATCATATGTTGTGGATGAATTGGCAAAAGAAAACGGTGTCACAGTACTGAGTTTGCCACTGTACCATTGTGAGCTGAATCCCATAGAGTTAAAAGACAAAATATATATATGGACTCAAGTAAAGGGATTTGTAGCAAATAAAAATAAATCTTTTAAAATGGCAGAGTTGAAAATTATTTTGCACAAAGCCTTAGCAAGTGTGACTGCAGAAAATTGGAAGAACTGTGAGGACCATGTAATTAAAGAGGAACAAACAATGTTCAACACGTACAACGCCATGTCGGACATTGCTGGGCGACAATTAACTTACCCTATAAGCCATACAAAATATTTGAAATTGTTAAAAAATATTTTTTTTTGTTTTATTTTTAGTATTATTAAATATGAATTTCTAACTAACAAAACAATTGACTTAACTGCAGAAATCTTTATAAATGTGAAGATAATTCATGTTACCCAACATTGTCCGACATGGCTTGCTGCGTATGATTATTAGAGTTCTAAACGTTCACACGTTCAACATCTTATCTATATTTATCCTAGGACTTCTTTGTTTTCTTCTTTTTTATTTGTCACCCTCGGCGGCAACTTGTATCTTGATTCGAATTACTTTTTTAACTTGTTTTAGAAACCACTAATGGAAATTAACACTGGGATAGTGTCAATAATAAAACGGAAATGTTCGTCTTCAGATAGTGGCACATCTTTTGATAGAGATGAACCATCCGCTGTAAAAAAGACTAAACTACTGGAGAAACAAATTCAAGATTAAAAAAATGTTTTGAATCGCCGCACGTAAAATAATACGTATATAAAACGAAATAGTCGACTTTAAAAAAAAAATTAAGACCATCAGTCGTAATAGACAAATTGAGACAATGTCGATACTGAGTATATTAATATGTTAGATAGCTTAAATAGTCCAAAAGCTGGCACGAATTTTCGGGTAGGTATTTGAGGCAAGCTGAAAACTTATCAGGTGCCTCTCCTATTATATCCCAACTAGGGATTGAAGACCTGGCTGGTGAGTAGCGAGGCTAAATCAACCCCTACATTCACGGATGATGATATGGGATGGTAAAATGGTATTTTTTATTTAGTAACATTGGTTGTTCCCTCGATTCTGATGATGTAGTACTAGCAAAGGAAGCCCTGTCATTCATGGTAACATCATTAAATGACTCATTTAAGGTTCCTGTTGGATATTTTTAACCCACTGTATCACCGCTTTGCAAAAAGCTTCACTAGTTCAATAATGTCTTACACTTACAATTGTGGCGTTACGTCGTAAGTCTCACATATGACGGTGCTGCCACGAATAGAGCTATGAGCAGTCATTAAGCTGGAGAATCGGAAACGTCTTTTACGCACAATGGGTAGGAAGTATGCCTGGGGCCAGACGTCTGTCACAATATTAAATTAGTGCGGAACACTTTCGGCGACAAAAAGAACCTCAAAGAAGAAACAAAAAGTCCTACGTAATCAATACTGAACCTTAATCAATTCAACATATGCACACGTTTTAACTTCAATCGCATGGGCTGTCCAGGAGAGGGACATGATTACATCAACATCATCATAGACTTTCATCATGGTGTATCCACTTCCGCGCAGAGTTATTGGCCCCTCTATTTCAAAGCTTCGACAGGCTTTTTGGGCTGAACAATGTCTACAGTTATACGTACATCTTCCCTTTGATATCCACTCTCTTGTTTCAAGACCGGTATGCACCTCCTTCTCACGGTATGAATGGCCTGCCAGAAGAAGGCCCGAGGTGCGCAATAAGAAAGAAAGGATGGATAGACGCCCTTGCCACCATTCTGATCATACTCAGAGCGGCCCAACTATGTGGGACTACTGCCACGTTACTATGACAAGGGGACTATCAGGATATTGAGTTGAGAATACCATCTAAAGAGTACCTGACCGCCAGGGTACTCACACCTGAGATTTAAACTCTACAATTCTTGCATGTATTGGAAGGCATATGCACAGAGGCAAGCATTTTCATCAAGGTCCCTGAATCCTGGAAGTTAAGAAGGCTACTAGAATACAGGAGGAAATATTTTGTGGACGGAGTCCAGGTCAGCGGACACTTCAAGAAAGTTTCCAAGCTGACGAGTGAAGCATTTACACACTTAACACTCTTATCTCTGGCTTTTTTTTCCCCAGCGGGGCTTCAATCGCAGGTGAAGACATCACCCCCATCCCCGCTTACATGATGACGGTATTCGAGGCAGCGCAAGTAATGTGGAGGTCCTAGTTGGCTTTTAGCTCTGTAATGAAAATAATCAACCATGAAAATAAAAGAAAATTGAAATTAAATAGAAGACTTCTATTGAGAATGAGATGATCCTCCATCAAACAATTTAGAAACTATAATAATATAGACTTCAGATAAAGAAATTCATGAAGAAGAGACAAATGTATTATTGCGGGATGGGTTTCGTGAGTGATGATATATATAGATGATAAGGAAAACATAATCGGTATGTTACTTAGAGAATAACGCCATTCATTTTATCTAATTATCTTTAATGAAAACAAATTAACTCTAGTCATTGTACATTTTAACAGATGATACGCCAGACACAAAAATTCGTTCTATTAACGCACCGAAAACAGTGACAGAACACTGATGTAAAATTAAGCAACAAGACGACCGATTCAAAACATGAGACTAAAATGATGAATGTAAGTTCTGACGATCTACTTCTATGTCAAGTTTTCGAACAAAATGAAGAGTGCAACAAAATTACAAACAGTGATTAAACTAATTATTTATTTAAAATTTTATTTTTGTAATTTATAAGTAGATCAGTTAAAGTTTAAAATAGTGAGAGGTATAACTCCATCGCAAGCAG